TCTATCATTTTTACTATAATGTGTCTAGAAGTGTTTCTCCTGGGATCTTGCTTGTTGGGTGTTCTATAAGCTTTTGTAATGTAGTTAAGATGGTCGTTTTTGAGGTGGGGAAAATTTTCATTGATTATCTTGTTAAATAGGTATTGCATTCCCTTGCTCTGGAATTCCTCACCTTCGTCCACTCCGATTATGCGAAGATTAAATTTCTTGGCATTATCTGCTTGCTCTTGAATTTCCCTTTGGTTTAATTTGAGTGATTTTTCCATATCTGTCACTTTTTGGTCCAGTTGGTGTATTCTGTCTTCTGTATCTGACACTCTACCTTCCATTTCCTTCACTCTGTTGACCGTGGCTTCTATTGTGGTTTGCATGGAGGAAATGGATCCTTTTATGGATTCAATGTTGGTTCTCAGAGTACTGATCTCACCTCTCAATGAGGTATGCATTACCTCTAATTTGGCGTTTATCTCACTTCTTACTGAGGTTTGTGCAGCTTCTATTTTTGCATCCAACTTTTGTTTGATATCCTGTATCTCTTTTGATAGTTCATCCTTGTGCTCTTTCAATTTCTGATCCATTTCTCGCTTTATTTCTTGAGTCATTGCCTCCAGCAACCCTTGGATGTAGCTTTTGTCTTCCATTCCTGCTTTGCTCCCACTGGGGCTCTCCCCTGCGTGGCTGCTGGCTTTTGAGGTGATCTTGCTGTCCTGGGTGGTGGTAAACCTTGTGATTCTTCTCTGTGATTTTCGCATGGGGGTTCAGGAGACTGCTCTTCAATCTTGTTTTGGTGTGTCTGTCTTTGCTTGGTTGCTGATTCTGTATTGGTAGAGAGAGTCTGTGCCTGATCTGGGTTCTGTTGGGAGCCTTTTTCCAGCTGCTATTCTGACTTACTTAAGATTCTCAGCTCTCTGCTGTAGATTGCTGGCTATTCCCGCCTTTGGAAGGGTTGAGCAGCCTAGACTGCTTGTGTTTGCTCCTACGGGTGCTCTTGGGAAGATCAGATGCTCTGGATGCACTCTCCCAAATACTGGAGTCTGCTATGGGCTCCTGATGTGTTTTTGTTTGTTTGTTTTGGGCTGGTTGTGGGCTTGAACTCTAGGTTTGGGTGCTGTCCCTCAGCTCTTCAGCTCAAGGCTGGCACCCTACCATTTGAGCCACAGCACCACTTCTGACCCTTTTTGCTTTTGTGATGCTGAAGAATCAGATCCAGGGCCTCATACATTCAAGACTATCACTCTATTGCTGAGCCACCTTATCAGCCTGAGCTCCTGCTTACTATCAGGTGCTGGCAGCCTGTGTTGCCCAATTCCCAGCCTAGGGTATATGGGTGGAGTTTTGGTGGGGTTTGGGCTTCTCTTGTCCTGAGCGTTCAGGTCTTTTGTTGTCACAGGCGTGCTTTCCGGGGAGTGTTGTTTCCTGATTTTCTCCCCTCTGTTGAGGCATATGCTCAGCTTTTTACTTCAGTTGGGAGGAGTTGGTTGTGTTGTTCAGGCACCGGATCCCCGGGCCTGGTTCCGGTCCCAGCCTGTAGCGTGCTCGTTAGGCCTATGCTGATGTGTATACCACCTAGGTTTATGCAGCCTGGAGGACACAGTTCAAATTTCTTCTACTGTTGGTCGTCTTGACCCAGGGGTGCTGTTCCTGGCTTGGGCATTTAAGCTCCCTTCCAGGGGTACTCTTGCTCTGGCCTGGCCAGCAGAGTGTGCTCCATGGGCTGGTGGAGCTCTCGGACAGTTCCCAGTTTTAGTGGGTCCTGTGGTCCGGGTGTTGGGGTAGGGAGTCTAGGTCAGGGTCTGGGTATTCCCTCCAGCTCTGGTCTCTCTTGAGGGATACACTGTCCCCTGTGGGGTACTCATCCTGGAGCTGGTTGTTTCTGTGTGGTGTAGGTCGTCAGTTGTTGTTGTAATCCGAGTTCAGTTGGGGTGGTTGCAGGCTGGGTTGGGCGGTGGTGGCTCTGTGTGATTCTTTTCTGTCTCTGCCTCTATCGAAGCTGTCGGGTCAACAGTGTCCACACTCAGGCGGCTTCTTCGCGGGTTGTAGAGATCCAGTGGGTCTGAGTGCGTGGGTGATCTGCAGGCAGCCCCCTGTGTCTCTGGGACCCGGGTCTTTGCGAGCGCAATCGGGCGAGTGGTCTGCTGACAGGTCCCTTTGTAGCGCTGCTGGTGCTGGGTGGCTTTGGGGAGATGGAGCCTCTCTGCTCCGGTGGAAAGTGAGGGGTGGGGGTGGGATCCTCGTGGAGACTCCCGGCTGGTAGGCTTCTCTGTTCCTGGTGATCTGCTGTTCTGCAAACCGGTACCTGGTGATCTGCAAGTGGCCCCCTGTGTCTCTGGGGCTCCGGCAGCCCCCGCCGGGCCGGCTGGCCGGCAGCTTGGTGCACTGCCGCGCAGCCAGTAAAGGTTGGGGGAGGGGTCTTCGCTCTTCTCTGTTCTGAAATTCTTCTTTTCCTCTCTTTCTTTTTTTGTTATTTTCCACCTCTGGTTTTTCTCTGAGTGTTCGTCTTTTTGTTCTTGTCGGTCTCTTGGGGAGATTAAGTGTTGGAACTCGAACTCTCTTTTTCGTTGGAGAGAGCTGTGGCGTTTCCCTACTGCCCCGTCGCCATCTTGGTTCCTCGGTTCTGACATTCATTTTTATAAGGCCTAAGGGAATTGCATCTACATTTTGAGTCATATGTATTGTGTCAACAGAGGATTAACATATCAACGAGATATCCAGATCTTTTCTCCAGTAAAGTATGTCCCTATAAACATAGTTAAAAAGTATTAGTAGATTTGGAATTCTGGGTTGTAGAGATCAACCTTTACAGATTTCTTTGTGCATTTTGTGAAAAAAACACATTTATGATAAAGTTAATAAGATGATTAAAACTCAAACCCCTTTTTTTTTTACATTTTTCTCTCTAAACTTGTCATTATCATACATAAAGCAGACAACTTCACTGTTGTTTTAATTTATCAGTTGGTTGTGTATATCAGTTGAGTCAGCTACCATGGTAGAAGCATATTATTGTGTCTATGTGTTAGTCATCCATTATTCTTAAAAGGGATGATACAGAAAATAGGCTTGCAATGGTCATTCCATGATAAAGACCTCATATTGGCAGCATATTTTGACAAACAAATTAGAAATCTCTCCCAAAGTTTGTTGAAAATTATTTGTGTTTGACATGTGGGCAACTCTTGTTCAAGTGCCTTGAACAATATGAAGTTTAAGTATATGTTAGTAAGTCATTTGTAAAGATCTAAATATTTGTGGAAGGAAGCATTTTTCATACAAGCTTCTCATAGAAAACATTTTTGTTTATTGTGTGAAAGAACATATATATATATACAATTTAACATTAATTGTATGTTAGAACAATGTTGCTATTATAACCTTGTACAATAATGGGATGTGCTATGTCTTGTTCAACAGAATACCCATGTGTAGCTAAGGAGAGATTTAATTTAATACGAGGATATTGTGTCTAAGAACTATTTCTTCAACCTTACCTAATTTTAAGAATTAAAATATTATTTTGTAAATAATTACAGTCAGATTGAACTAATCTGTCATAAAATGGAAAAGAGCAATTCAAACTTTATCCATTAGATAATATTGAGATTTCATTATCACCTTGAGAATTAGAAAAATCTTTTAAGATTCATTTCTTTATGATTTTATTATTTTAAGATTTATTTTGTGATTATTATTGTTTTTATTCTTCATGCATTTTTATTGTTTTTATAAAAAGTGATGGACAGAGGTTGTACAGAAGTGTGATGCAAGCAGTGACACCGATTAAGCTGCATCATTTACTTATATTGACATGTTGACCTGAAACTCCTCTGCACAGATTTTTAAAAATGATTTTTAAAATACTGCTATTATTTCACATAAAATAAATAAAATTTAGAGAACAAAGTTCAAACTCCATGACCAAATAAAAGTTGAAAAAGTAAAACGTTGTAAATTTTCAAAATAGGCTTCCTTTTTCCTTCCTTCCTTCCTTCCTTCCTTCCTTCCTTCCTTCCTTCCTTCCTTCCTTCCTTCCTTCCTTCCTTCCTTCCCTCCCTCCCTCTCTCTCTCTGTCTCTCTCTCTCCCTCCCTCCCTTCCACCTTTCCTCCCTCTCTCCCTTCCTCCTTCCCTCCCTCTCTTTCTCTTTCTTCCTTTCTTCCTTTCTTCCTTTCTTCCTTTCTTTCTTTCTTTCTTTCTTTCTTTCTTTCTTTCTTTCTTTCTTTCTTTCTTTCTTTCTTTCTTTCTTTCTTTTCTCTCTCTCTCTTTCTTTCTTTCCTTCCTTCTTTCTTTCTTTCCTTCTTTCTCTCGCCTCCTTTTCCTTTGCATTGTTATTTTTATACCAGCTAGGAAAGTACTCTAAAACTGAGGTACCTATATCTCTAGTACTTGATTATTTTTTGTATGCTTCTATAAGAAACAGTTATTCTGTGCATTTTATACAAATTCATATTTGGACCACAGTTATTCATCTGTCAAAATTATCAACTTAATTCAATAGACGTGATTTATTGTCATGTATGGATATTATGTATTGTTATGTTTGGTGGTGAAAAGTTTCTTAGTCAACTAAACTCAGCAGTGCATTTCAAAATTTGTTTATAATTATTATGAGCAACTCACCTATATCTTTATCTACCATGTGAGATCTAGTGACAATTACTTTTTAAAAATCTACATACGTCTTCCTTTTGAGCACTCATATAAATGAGTATCATTTATTACCACATGATAATATGAATTAAAACTATCCCAAAGCATCTTTCACCAAAACTCTCTAATTTTATAGATATCAAGCAAGATTAATTAACTTGATTATGATTATAATATTAAACAAAATTTAAACCAAAGATTTCTGATATCCTTTCATGATCTTATCATATTGTCATATGCCATTATGAATTTTGAAATAATTTTCATTCCTAGGTTAACTAAATAACTGATATCTCACAATTTATATTTACTTTTATGGTTATATTAAGTTTATATTTCACTTTATATTTTCCAGGGACAAAACATTTTTGACCTTGATATCATTGAAACACCAGAAGGAGACAAAATGCCACAGCTGATTGTTCAAAAGGAGTTGGATAGGGAAGAAAAAGATACCTATGTGATGAAAGTAAAGGTAGAAGATGGTGGCTTTCCTCAAAGATCTAGTACCGCTATTTTGCAAGTAAGTGTTGGTGATACAAATGATAACCGTCCAATCTTCAAGGAACAGGAAATTGAAGTCAGTATTCCAGAAAATGCTCCTGTTGGTTCTTCAGTAACACAACTTCATGCCACAGATGCCGATATTGGTGAAAATGCCAGGATTCATTTTTATTTTAGCAATCTAGTCTCTAACCTTGCCAAGAGACTATTTCACCTTAACACCACTACGGGACTTATCACAGTCAAAGAACCACTGGATAGGGAAGAATCACAAAGCCACAAGTTACTGGTTTTGGCGAGTGATGGTGGATCAACACCAGCAAGTGCAATGGTGCTGATAAATGTTACCGATATCAATGATAATGTCCCTTCAATCGACATCAGATACATTGTCAATCCAACCAATGGCTCTGTGATGCTTTCTGAAAATGCTCCGCTCAATACTAAAATTGCTCTTATAACTGTGACAGACAAGGATGCTGACCACAATGGTAGAGTGACATGCTTCACAGATCATGAAGTTCCTTTCAGATTGAGACCAGTATTCAGTAATCAGTTCCTGCTGGAGACTGCAGCATATCTTGACTATGAGTCCACCAGAGAGTATGCCATTAAATTATTGGCTGCAGATGCTGGCAAACCTCCTTTGAATCAGTCATCCATGCTTCTCATCAAAGTGAAAGATGAAAATGACAATGCTCCGTTTTTCACACAGCCTTTCATAAGTCTTTCTATTCCTGAAAATAACTCACCTGACACACAGTTGACAAAAATAAGCGCATCAGATGCAGACAGTGGACGTAATGCTGAGATCACTTACCTGCTGGGCTCTGATGCTCCACCTGAATTCAACCTGGACCGTCGTACGGGCATCCTGACTGCAGTGAAGAAACTAGACAGAGAAAAGCAGGAAAAATACCATTTCACAGTTCTGGCTATTGATAATGGCATACCACCATTAATGACCAATGCCACAGTGTTTGTGACTGTTCTTGATCAGAATGATAACAATCCAATTTTCACTCACAATGAGTACAACTTCTACGTCCCAGAAAACCTTCCAAAACATGGCACAGTTGGACTAATTACTGTAACTGATCCTGATTATGGAGAGAATTCTGCAGTTAATCTCTCTATTTTAGATGTGAATGATGAATTTACCATTGATCCACAGACTGGTGTCATCAGGCCAAATATTTCATTTGATAGAGAAAGACAAGAATCTTACATTTTCTATGTCAAGGCTGAGGATGGTGGGAGGGTATCACGTTCTTCTACTGCTAAAGTGACCATAAATGTAGTTGATGTCAATGACAATAAACCAGTTTTTGTCATTCCTCCTTCCAATTACTCCTTTGAATTGGTTCTACCTTCTACTAGTCCAGGCACAGTAGTCTTCAATGCCCTTGCAATTGACAATGACACTGGCATGAATGCAGAACTTCTTTATAGCATTACTGGGGGAAACACAAAAGGACTGTTTGTAATTGACCAAGTATCAGGCAATATCACCCTGAAGGAGAAATGTGCTGTTGCAGACCTTGGCTTACATAGACTGATAGTTAGAGCTATGGACTTGGGACAACCCGATTCACTTTTTAGTTTTATAGTTGTTAATCTGTTTGTGAATGAGACAGTGACCGATGCTACCCTGGTTCGTGAATTGGTGCGCAAAGGCTTTGAAACACCTGTGACCCAAAACATTGAAACAGCTGATGCATCCTCACCAACCAGTGACTATGTCAAGATTATGGTTGCCATTGTTGCTGGCACCATAACTGTCATCCTGGTGATTTTCATCACTGCAGTAGTAAGGTGTCACCAATCACCACATCTTAAGGCTTCTCAGAAAAACAAGCAAAATTCTGAATGGGTTACTCCAAACCCAGAAAATCGGCAGATGATAATGATGAAGAAAAAGAAGAAGAAGAAGAAGAAGAAGAAGAAGCATGCCCCAAAAAACTTGCTGCTCAACTTCGTCACTATTGAAGAAGCAAAGGCAGATAATGCTGATAATGATGGAAACAGTGTCACACTAGACCTTCCCATTGAACTGGAAGAGCAAACCATGGGCAAATACAACTGGGGCACTACACCCACTACCTTCAAGCCTGAAAGCCCTGATTTGGCTCTGCACTACAAATCTGCCTCTCCACAGCCAGCCTTCCAGATCCAGCCTGAAACTCCTCTGAATTCAAAGCACCACATCATCCAGGAACTGCCTCTAGATAACACCTTTGTGGGCTATGATTCCATCTCCAAGTGCTCTTCCAGCAGTTCTGATCCCTACAGTGTTTCTGAATGCAGCTATCAAGTGACAACTTTCAAGACCCCAGTGTCTGTCCATGCCAGACCGGTAGGTAACCAACTTAAGAATTCTAATTTTAGCTACATTTTGGTTATTTTCAGTTGATTGAGGTTTTACATTATTAAGAGGCTTTAAAGAAGAACTAAAGCAATATTGTATAGCATTGAAATGGACATATGAATTTATTTAAGTATATAAATTTATATATACATATATTGATAGGTATAGATAGATACATTTGGGAAGAAAATCATAAGGAAACAACTGCTAAGTCTAAGAAAATTGGGAATAAAGTGATGAAATGAAAATACAATAAGAGCAATTATGTCTGTTGATAGTGATATGATACTCCTTGTGTGAGAATATACTGAAAAACTACCTAGTAAGGATAGTAGCTATACTCTCAGTACCTTTGTGTACATGAGCTTCAGAAACATCTGGCTATATACCTTGCAGTAAAGCTTCGTAGATTCTGACAGTCCTAATATTAATGCTTCTGAGATTCCCAGATCCACTCAGGAAAATCTGTGATTTCCCAAGTAATTAAATACCACTATTTTCCCCTCAGTACTCCACCATGCTTCCAGTTCCACAGAGTATCATTTTCATTCTAGTAACATACAATTACTGAATTTATCAAGTCTTTTTATTCACACATTACAGTAAGAATGGAATTACAAAAGTTAGTACAAGTTTACTGTCATCCTCAAGCTAGACAACCAAATACATGAGAGATCTCTATTTTATATCACCAATTAAATATTTGCATATTTATGCATGATATTCAGAGCTCTTCAGAAGAAATTCTTAAAGATAATGACTTTTTGAAAATTAAGTATGTTTGCTTTCTCTAATGGGCACAAAGAGAACTAAGAGCATATTAAAACTCAAGAAATGTATGCACAGCAATTTAAAACCCAATACATTTATGAAAATGAGCTTTTACAGTATGTTTTTTCTTCATCTGTATTCCATGGAAAAATGAGCACAAATAATCTTGAAATTCATAACTAAGGTAAGTGATTTAAATTTGGTTATTTCTTTAATAAAGTGATAGATTTATCTGTTTTTTCTCTTAAAATCATGCCACATGTTCACTTTATTATTTTGTCTTTTTCACTCTAAAAAGTGTTTTCACGTTCAGTGACTAAAAGCTATGAAAATGTGCTCAGACTTAATAAAATTACAAGTATGAGATCTATGTTTTTCTACGTTGGTGAATCTTGGGTAACAAACATAATAGATACTTAAAATCTCCTCAGGACATATTTTTCTTTAAATTTAATCATTCAAAACACACTAATTTTCTTCATCTATCATTCTTTTTCTTGAGTACATTTCTGAAGAGAAAATTGTTTATGTCACTATATGAATGTTGTACAGTAATTTTGTAATAAAAAAGTTACTAAAAACTCATTGTTGCTTAAAGAAATTAGGACAGAAAATAAATTTTTTACCGGATGACAGATACTTCAATTTATATCAAGCAAAGCAAGAAACACATTTTCAAAAGTTGGTTTAGGGTGAATCTTGCACATAGTACTTCATTACTCCTCTAATTAGAAAGATGTACATGAAGAAATAAAACTAGACTAAACTACAAGGAAACATATCAGAAAATTTTCATTATGTCAGAGGAAGCAAAAGGAATGAAATACTTTTTTGTGCCAGTCCTGGGGCTTTAATTCAGGGCCTGGATGTTATCCTCTAGTTTTATTGTTCAAGGCTAGTACTTTACCACTTGAGACACTGCTCCACTTATGGTTTTTTGCTGGCAAATTGGAGATAAATGTTTTAAGTATAGACTTTTCCTCCCAGGCTGGCTTTAAATCCCTATCCTTAGGTCTCATTCTTCTGAATAGATAGTATAAGAGGCATGCACCACTGATACCCAGCTTTAAATACTTTTTACAGGTTTCAGCAAGCAGATAACATTTGGTCCTTAATACTTTAGAAAATAGTAAGCATAAATGTCTATTTAATATCAATTTTGTTACTTTTGGTTTAGAAAAAGTGTCTTATGATAAATACAAATTAATGTAGACCCCCTCATCTGAATATTCAAAGCAATATAGTTGAAAACCAAAGAGGAAGATAAAAGTTAAACCATTTTATGAAGATATGTATATGCTATTCATTGTCTTACATATACATATGAAGTACTTAATTCACTGCTTTCAAAAAAATTGTAACAAATTCTTTCAATTTGAGTTCTGAAGTTGAACTGGTCTTTCAACTTCTGAAATGGAACAAAAAGAATCTTGAGAGGGTTATATGGTTATTATTTATGGATGAAATCATATTTTAAATGATACATTTGTACAAATGATAAACACTCTGTTAGCTTAGAATTGATAGATACTCACTATTATTAAATTCAGCAATTTTGATTCTGTGCATCAATATGGTAGTAGGTCAATTTCAGTTATGTAGCATGCTTGGGAAAATAAGACTCCTAGAACACAGCCATCTGATTTTGATAATGTTATTTTTCTTGTCCTAGACTGATTCCAGGACATCAACTATTGAAATCACAGTGAGATATAACTTATTAGTAATAACATAATTCTGTTCCTTTCCTAGACATATTTCAGTGTTTTTGCAATTTCTAAATTTGACCAACATCATTACTTATGTGATTTCAATTTTCTACTATAAATGCAAGCAAGGTAAAGCCCCTCCCCCTAAAAGTGATGATCCTCAATGATCTTTTTGCTCTCTTTAGATGTAATCTAGCAATTAAAAATTCAAATTTATGGAAGTAACAGTACATTATTATAACACAGTGCTATCATACTATCTCTACTTACTCTTGAGTGTCAACAACTGTGATGAAATACAATGTTCTTTGTGTACACACTGATGATTAACATATCAGTTTTCAAACATGGAAGCATATGTGGTGTCTGATTGCTGAAGAGTTTAAACACCATCTCGTGGAATTTTGAAGTGAAGTTGAACTACATGGAAGTTATTCTCTGGAAAGTATCCAGGGAATGAAAATGTTTTAAAGACTACTTAACCAATAATTGAAAAATCAAATCCATGTAGTCCGATATTTGGAAAACATTTATTACCAACATGTCAACTACAATTACCTACCAAAACAAAATTTTGTTGAGCGGAAATAAAAATTGGAACATTTTATGTTGATTGTAACGTTTTGACTAATTTAGAAATCAAATTTTTGTAATTTTTATACATATAATTTTTTTCAAAAATAAGCTTTGTTCATATTTTATCTACAAAAAGGGGAAGTAAAGTTCTTTATATTCCCTATTAAAGATGCCTTGGTATTGTTTATATTATGAAACATGACTGCAGTCATATGGGTCATATAAACAAAATCAAGGGGCTGAGAAGGTGGCTCAGTGGTATAGCGCTTGCCTTGCATCCATGAGGCCCTGGGTTTGATTCCTCAGCACCATATAAGCAAAAAGAAAAAAGCCAGAAGTGGCTCTGTGGCTCAAGTGGTAGAGCACTAGCCTTAAGCTGAAAAGCTGAGGGGCAGCACCAAGGCCCAGAGTTCAGGCCCCACGACCGGACCCCCCCCCCCAAAAAATAACAAAAAACAAGATCAAAAGAGGGTATGATACATCTTAGAAAAATATACTCCTTTTGAGAGCTTTTTCTAAATGGAGAGTCTCACTTTTTTCAAGGCTTTCCTTACCATTCTTTCAATTATAAATGAATTGCTGTGTTTACCTTTAAAAAACAGAAAGAAAGAAATTACTAGGAAAATGTAAGGAACTTGAGTAACTTTTAAATAACGATATTCTTACTTTTCTGGCATCAAATTATTGAATATATTATATTTGGTAATATATCTTTTATAGTTTACTCATTTTCAGTGTTTTACTTAATTCATTTCCTACACAAAAATGCCACATATTGGGCTCACACTGTATTTTATGGAGAGTGACATGTTCCAATTTATACTGTGTTCTTAAGCATCTGTGATTTACTATTTCTACTAACAGAATTACAAAAAAAATAACACTAATAATGTCTTAGGACAAAAAGGGAGTATAAAGGATCCTTGTGGTTATGATATATATATGCTTCTTGAATCATTCATACTTTGTATCATTTCACCTTGAGAAGTGTGAATAAGTTTTGTTCTGTTACATATGTACATTAAAATTTGTAATTATTATAATTGTTCTTTGACATAAGTATATTTATTTATTTTTTTTTGGGTCCAGTTGTGGGGCCTGAACTCTGGGCCTGGGCGCTGTCCCTCAGCTCTTCAGCTCAAGGCTAGGGCACTACCACTTGAGCCACAGCGCCACTTCCAGCTTTTTTCTTTTTGCTTATGTGGTGCTGAGGAATCGAACCCAGGGCCTCGAGCATGCAAGGCAAGTGCTCTACTACTGAGCCACCTTCCCAGCCCGACATAAGTATATTTACAATAGATCTAGAATAGATCTATATCCTATTCAGCATTTCAAATTAGTATGACTGTAAAATATACAATATTTACATAATGGACTGGACAAGTTTCTATTAAAATATATGTTCTTATTGTCACAATACTGAAGCCTTTACACCTTCAATGATGTTACACTCCAAGAATAAATGTGCTTTCTGGCTGTCTAAACATGGTATAGTTGATTATAATAAATGAATGTAACTGCTTTAAAGGGTAATGAGAACTACCTTATGAGCTACAAACCAGCATTGAAAAATACATACTGGTAAATCTTTTGTAAAAATTATTCACTTAGAGTAACTTTATTTGTTCTTGATACATATTTTAGTTTAATTCAAGTAATTCAAAAGAATGTAAAAATTAAGCTGAATTTGTACAGTCTGAAATCAATGTCCTATCAATACCAAGGGCATTCCAAAATCTATAGTCTCAATTTAATTGTAAATAAAATGATGAAGCATAAGAAATTGAAATACTGTAGTACAGTATTGTGGCTTCACGGCCTTTGTTTATGTAAATACTATAAAATATATTTTAAATGCCCATGTCATGACCACCCTGGTATCTCCTTTTTCTTACACTAGAAACTAAAGGAGATTGCTTCCTTTTCTTCCAG